TGTCAGACAGTGGGATTTTCACAGTTGGGAGTGGTAGGGATGCTGGGGAGAGGACTTCCAGATAAGCAGAGCATAGACAGGGAGACATGAGGGTCTGCGATGAGCTCAAGGCATGGTGTCTGGAGTCTGGGACTCGTGAGGCTGGGGCCCAGGATACAGCTCAACTAGAGTGATGTACGAGAGGTGAGTATCTAGTGGTTGGGGCTGTTTCCAAGGGGGTCAAGAAAGTCTTCCTGGGGATGATCATTAGACATTAAACCTGGTCCTGATAAAATGCCACTTTGACACATTCCCTAAGGTGCCCAATGAAAAGTCATGATGCCACATGCTTCAAAGCTTCACAGGGGTGTTGTGTCTTCTTTCTGAGCTCTGCACTAAGCCAAACATACCTATTTTTTCAAGAGTTATCTTGGGATTCTTAAAAAATTCCAAAAATGGGGTAAAACATTATTTCTATTAGTTTTAATAAAAAGTCAAATCTTGATTAACTGGATCCTTCAAATGACTAGAATTTTCTACGTGCCTGACTTTTGGGTGAGAGAGGCAAGTGTGGGCAAATGTGACCGTTTTTTAAAGAGCCATGTGTGACATATCCCAGGAGCAATACCCCAGAACCCTAACTCCTGTCTCCCTGCAGCGCTGCTCAAGTTTCAGGGCCATCATCTGTTCCCAAACCAGCAAGCCTGCCGAGTGTTCATGGTCTGGTCTTCCGGTGGTCTTTGAGGTCTTGAGAGCAAGGGCCTCTATTTCATACCATTTTTTATTCTATGTAATATCTAACACATCTTTGCACATTTGAGGGTTTTAAATATTTGGCAATGGATTAGAAAGTGCTATGTATCTTCATTAGCGTCAGTAGAGTGGTTAGAAGATTTTAAGTCATTCTCCTCTGTTTCTTGTTCAGTACTTCAGAGTCAGATGGACTTGGGTTCAGATTTCTGTTCTATGATTGGTTGGCAGTGTGAACTTGGGCAAAGTACTTACCTCCCAACCTAACTTGCAGGGTCATTGTAAGAATTAGCGATTAAATATTTAAAGTGTCTGGCAGCTGCTGTTGTTACTGCTATTATTTCACTTGTTTGAAAGCAGAAATTTCCTGGCTTGTAGCTTATGATTCCACAGTGGAGAGCTCTTGTCTTTTCTGGAATTGCATTTCCATTTGGGAGAGTCAGCTCCTATTATTTAAGGCTGACTTTAGGGAGAGGGTGCTGTTTGACCTGAATCTTGAAAGAAGAGTAGATGCCTGTAAAGCAGACATGGATGGAAAAGGCATTCCAGACAGAAGGGACAGCATGTGCAAAGACCCAAAGGCATGAAGGAGAGTGACGTGTGGAGGAAGCTGATCATGGCTAGAATGGGGGATGTATGTGATGGGCAGTGGGCACACCAAGGCTAAGCATGTGGGCACGAGCCAGATCATGGAAGGCATTGTATGAGATGTTAGATTTGGGCTATCAGTAATCTAGTCAGATTGATATTTTAGGAAGATTCTTCTCTTCTTCATTAATTTCCTGTAGGTTTTCAATGAGTCTGAACAAAAATTTTTTAAATTAGGTTAATGAACTTTGAGCCAGGTATATGGGATAGGAATAGACCGTGTTCCCAGCATGTGACTTCTGACTATACTTAGAGAAACATCTTCCTTATCCACGGTTGGACTCAGGTGATGTGGCCGGCAGGTGGTCCCAGCCCATCCATCTCTTCTGCCCTCTCTGTCAGGTTGACACTTTCACATACTGAAACGCAGTCAATGCCAGTTTGTCCCAGGTTGTCTCGTAACTTGTTTTTTTGCCTCAGGGTTTCCTCAGTAGATTGAATCTATAATATCTTTGGACGTCAACTGCAGCAAATTAATGCTAATGATGTTTGTGTATGCCCTTCATTTCTGTGCTAATGTAGCATATACCCAGCCAGATGTTTTCGAACAGTCTTGAAAAGTGCGATCAGGGTTCAGCAAATATGATGACAGGTTATCACTTGTTCTGTTTCCGGTATTGTTCTCTGCCTTATAAACAAGTGAGGGGTGGGCTATGGTGAGAAGGAGCCCGGTGGCCTTGAGACAGTGCCTCTCCTGCTTTCTCCTGGGCGTTCGAGGGGGGATCAGAGTTGGGCTTGTCAGGCATCCTGCCTGCTGTGAAGGAAACACCTGGCAGTGGCCGAGTGCCTCTGCTGCTTCTCCGCTGCCTGTGTTTCCAGCTCCTTTTCTCTGCCAGTCTCTCTTTCCTGCTGTTCCTCTTGCTTCATTCCCAGGTGCCTTTTCCATCATTTGTGCTCAGCGGTTCCACTATTGTTCTTCCTGTCTGGTTCTCTGAAATCCAGCCCACACCTTTTCAACTCCATATCCTGAGTCAAGTGTTTGAAAGCTGTTATTTCATGTTAATTAGAAGTTCTTTTTCTAGCCAAGACGCCTTGCACAGAACTGCTCCCCCAAGCTGAGGCTCAGAGACGAGCTCTGGCATTTTGTGCTTTGGGTACCGTTAAAGGAATTGTGGATAATCGCTCTCAGAGCCACGCCACTGCCTGCAGTGCAGGGAACTTTCCCCACCACCTCAGGGCCCTCCCTGGGGCAGCCAACTCCCAGCCTGGCTGAGCCAGAGGGACTGAGTATGCCACCCAGAGGATGTCGCCACGGTCCTGGGTGGGGTCTCCTATGGCCAAAAGTGCTTAGAACCAGCCCTCATCCAGGAAGTTCTCTGACGGTCTCCCGACAGGTCTCCATCAGATGCTGGCAGGTGACCGTTTGGCAGCTTCTCCTTCCTTTGTAAGACATCTCCCATTGACCCAAGTTTGCTGGGGCATTCTGGTGGAAAAGCACTCCCCTCACCTTCTGGACTCAGAAGACATCAGCATGTGTCAGCTTCAAGCTCCTTAAAAACTCCTCAATTGGGGCCAGCCTGGTGGTGTAGTGGTTAAGTTCGGTGCTTTGCTTTGGCAGCTACAGATGTTAGCTCAGGGACAGTCTTCCTCAAGCAAAAAGAAGAAGATCAGCAACAGAGGTTAGCTCAGGACCAATCTTCCTCACCAAAAAGAAAGAAAGAAAGAAAAAACATCCTCAAGACACCCTGAGTGGCTACCATTCCTTTGTCGGTAGTCCTGGAAAGACCTCAGGGGATTTCCACTTCTTGAGATGTCTTTTAGCAGAAGCTGAGCCCTGTTTTCACATCTGGCCTCACTCTTTATGCCCCCCTACTTATGGATCAGGGGCTGCATCCTCTTGTGACCTGGCCTGTTGCCCCATTATCCCAGGCTTTTGCAAACCCAGGCTCCAGGATGCTGCAGCCCTGAGCCCTCTGGGAGCCACAGCACCGCCTTGGGCATCCTGTGTTCCATTTGGAAGGAGTGGTTGGTGCTAACCCATTCCTGAGCTTGAGCGGTGACAGGTTAGGACCGCCTTCCTTCCATCTCCCACGGAGGAAAAAGAGACTTTCCTTCTCCAGAGGGCCTTCGAATTGGACCATCACATCGTGCGTGGTTGAGGAATTCTATCCATCTAACTTTTATCGCTAGAAACATATTTCTTTATCTTCTGTGGTTGATAGAGAAAGTAGTCAGTGAGAAAATGCTGATGTAAGACCCTTTGACCTCAGAGCATAATTTTAGGCGCTGTGGAAGTGAGGCCAGAGAGAGGGCGGTTGGGGTTCTTTTATAGAAAGGAAACACCACCTACTGAGAAGGCTTATTACAGAGATGACATTGGAATTGTGGTAAAGTGCCAAACACAGAGCCTGGCATAGAGGAGGCCTTGAATAAACAGGAGCTCCTCCCTCCTTTTGCTTCTTTTTATTATCATTCACAACAAACACCAGCCAGTTTGATACGTACTGAATAGAAAAGATAAATGTATAAAAGTGATATCAGTGGAAGACGTACTTGATGAGGTGTGGTTTTAGCTGAATTTAGGAAGAATTAAGGAGAGGCGTGGATTAGTAGAGATTAAGTTGGAGGACAGGCATATATATTCATGGAGTTACGAAGGAAACATAATCTTTGGCCAATGAGTTATATTGGTAGGAGTGGGTCCAGTGGGATGCCTGGCACAGAATGGGATGGTGAAATAGGAATGGCCACTGGGCAGAGTGTTAAGGGACTTGATAAAGAATTCTCACTTACTGTTACAGACAGTAAAGAATCATGGTAGTTTCTTGAGCTGGGAATGGAAATGATTTTTGGAGATCTTTATAATTTCTTGGAGCTGGGCAAGTCAGGGGACAGAAAGACCATTAGGAAGATGTCTGGGTTCATGCTGGGGCTCTCACAAGGGTAGTAGTGATAAGCCCAGGGACCAAGAGAGCTGATGTCTACAGAGAGGCTTAAATAGAATTTGGGACTGGGATAACTCTGAGATGCCAAGAGAGAAGGGTCTAAGCTTAGACTCAGAAGCTGGATGGAGGGTGAAGCTGTTGGTGGTAACAAATATAGGGAAGAGATAGCTGGTGATTATGGAGTGAGCTGGGGAAGGCCGTGAACAGCGGGGCTGGAGCAGATCAAAGAGGAGCGGGCCTTAGCCAGGCACCCCCTTCATCATGTGCCTTCAGGTCAGGCTTTTCAAAACTTCGGAGTTTTCACGTGATGAGGATCATGTGGAAGGTTTCTATTGTGGATACTCATATCACCTGAGTCTCATCTGCTGTGTAATTTTGTAAATAAATCAAGATTCTCTTTTAATGAATTTTTGAAGTTTCACAAATAGGTTGGTTTTGTTCTAAAAACAAAATCTCTGTGTTCTGAATAAAATTAGCCACTCTGATGCTCTTAAGCTGACCACAAATGGAACTGTTGTGCCTGCCTTTGCCTTGGTGGTGACTTATGCAAAGCCATATATTGAGCTGGGATTCTGGAGTCCTCGGCCCTGCTCCCACTGCTGCCCTCTGGTCGCCTTGGGACACCCTCTTCTAGAACGAGTACAGCAGCTTCCGGGTCTAAGCCAGGCCCCCTTGTTTCATTTTGATGGGGACCCTGTCTTGAGCTGTGTTGTTCTCTTCCTTGTCTCCCCACCGTAGACTACTGTTTTCCAAAGTGAAGCTGGAGTCACTCTGCCGCGGCCCGGACGAGGCGCTCCTCACCTGTAAGCACATGTTACAAATATGGAAATCCTGCTACAACCTAACCAATCCCAGGTAAGAGGCCAGCAGTGCCTGTTTTGCGTGGTTTTTGCCTGGGTCCCTGCCTGTCGGTGCCTCTCTGATGGGCACTTAGCAGGCGTTAGCCCTAGGTCCCCACGAGCAGCAGAGAGCAGTGCTAGAGCCTCACACACTCCATTTCTAAGGGGATTTTCTCGCAGCTGGTGAAGCCTCCACATCTTTCTTGTAGGTTTCTTTTGCTTTTGCTGCCACGGTGACCCACCAGGCTCAGTTCACAACTGGTCTCTATCTGATTTCTCTTAACCAACCAGCCCTTTACTTAACTCCTTTGACAAGTCTTATCATCTTTCTGGTGATTTATGGATAGACTAATGAATTATATATCCCAGCTTGGGTTCTTACAGTGCTGTTTAACAGCCCTTCCTTAGATAACAGCCCACATTCTACTAAGGAGAGTAGAAATCCCTGTTGGCATGATAAAGTATAATTTTCAAAAAGTTAAAATCATGACTCAAACAAATATAAAATAAGCACATATCAAAGATTTTATTTACCTCATTAACTAATGAGGGAACCAATAAAATGTTAAGACCCGTTCCAAGAAGAATCTGAGCATTAGCAATCAGCAATAGGCTGAAACGAATTTGCAAATAACTGCAACAACGGTATCTTATAGGACAGTGAAATGTTGTTTGGGGTCGTCTTTTCCACAAGGTGAAAATTGACTGCATCTCGACCAGACAAACTTCATTTGCCTTCCTGTCAGTTTCCTACAGGATAACTCTGCCCTGCAAAGCTGTCAAATGGCCTAGTCAGTCGGAGTCAGTCAGAGGAGGCCTCTTGCGGAGGCAGATAATCCAGGGGAGAGCTGCTAGTCAACACCTGCATGCCCCGAAACACACCTGATGTGTGTGGTGCACATTGGGCAATTTTTCCTGGTGTCTGTTTGGATTGCTAAGTATGCTCTGCCCTGTGAAGGAGTAATTTAACGAAGAGGGACCTAGTGATTCAAATTAATCCAAACAACTGCTGATATACTCAGAATACTTCTCAAGTTCATAGCAAGATGTATAGATAGCCCACATCGTGCTCTTAAAGTCAGGAGCCTAAAAATGTGTAATTCGAATTGTAAATGTGTACCAAGGCTGTGGCTTGCCCCGTCCAGCCCACCAGGAGGCGGGTACGTGGCTGGTGGCCGTGGTCTGCAGGCTCCTGGCCTGGGGAGAGGAAAGGCGGGATGGGTGTTAGGGAAGCAGCGGAGAGCAGGTAGGGTCCCATGTGAGATTTTGTTTTACCAAAGTTTCTGCAGTTAAAAAAAAAAGTTCAACCGGACCCATGTGTATAATATGATATAAATGAGAACATAATATGCAATGAATATGGCACCACCATCATTGAAGAAAGGATAGGTCATTTATAGATAACGTTGGAAAAACTGGTTCACTATATGGAGAAAAGTGAAAACTGTGTTCTTATGTAACAACACGTACAAGAGTGAATTCTGGATGGATTAAACCTAAATAAGAAAAGTAAAACTATACAATTAATAGAAAAAAATGTTCAAAATCAGGCCCCGTTAAAGGGATGGGTCCTTGTGAACCGTCGTTAGACAGACTTGTGACCACAGGCCCCGTGGGCAGTGCAGCTGGAAAGGAGGGAGCAGGCCGCTGTCCAGTCCCACGCCCAGCAGGCAGCCACGCGACCCCTGGCAGAGCTGGAGTCGAAAGACCAGAGTCCCCTTCGTGACCACAGCCTGTGGCACGTTACTGTGCCTGGTGCACCCATCTTCCTCTTGATGAAAGGATAGCCAAGACACTGGCCTCTTCCCTTGTGTGGATATGTTCTGAAAATAAGGATCATTTTAGTTTTTTAAAAAAATCTCCTTTTCTAAAGCTGTCAGCAGAAATAGAAAATTCCCCTATTTATGTTCCCGAAAAGCCCCCCACTCCTGGCCTATGGGAAGCAGGAGGATTTGGGGGAGGGTCTTTGCCACAAGCGCAGCTCCCAGGAGAGACTCCCCCAGCTGGTTGCTTCCGTCCTGGAGCACAGCCCTTTGCCTGCACCCCCTTTAGAAATGAGAAGATAAATCCATCAGCTTTCACGATGCCAACTTTCCCTCAGTTCTCCACACCTCTCCCACCTCCCCACATTTCCTCCCACTTAGCAACCAAGAATATTGAATGTGAGGAGAAAAAAATAGCAGAACGGGAAAGCTTTTTAAAAATACTTAACCAAATGCCTGGGCTGTGTCCATGCTTCCTCCGTTTCCTGAAGGATCTTTCGGGGCCAGAGCCGGCAGGAACCCCAGCCCCAGGGGGAGTCTGGACGAGGTGGGGTGTGGGGGAGGCCCCATGAGTTCCCAGGAACTGTTCCCGCCCTGCTCCCAAAGCCTTGAGTGAGAGGGTGGTCATCGATCGGCCCCTTATTAAGGAGCTTCCTGTTTCTTTTTTTTAACTTTATTTTCTCTGGGATATAAATAAATGTTGCTCCTGTAGCCCTTGCCATTGTGCAAATTTAGACATCCTCCCCAGTGTGGTCGGGTAAGACGTGACCCTGGCAACAGAATAAAGCACAGAGAGAGGAGGGCTGTGTCTTGATGAGCGACAGCACCGTGCAGTTCTCCAGATAAGGGCAGCTCTGGGTCCAGCAGCCTTGAGTCTACGATCAGGTCATACAGGGTTTTAGAAAAGGGTAGAATCGCATGAACAAATGTGTGAGAAGCATCACTGCCAAAAGAAAAAATTATGAAAAAAAAAAACCTGAGCAGAAAGCGTCTTGGCAGGAGGCGGTTGGTTTCTATCTGGAGGAGGTCCGCAGTGACGTCCTGGCTCGGGGGCCCTTGGTTCTGCGAGTGCTCAGTTGAGGGAGTGGGGGCGGGGGCCTCTGCTCAACCTACCAGGGTTCCCCACTGTCCCCCGCTCCTAACTCCGTCATGAGGCTGGCACGGGCCTCCAGAGCAGCGAGATGGTGAGGCACAGAGGGAGACACGGGCAGTAACGGGGCCAAATTGAGGACAGACCCGAGTTTCATGTTCTCTGCCACTCGGCCCCTCCTCTCTATTTTTGCTTGAAGGAAAATCACAGTATGAGCTAGTTGTTGAACGGAGCCTTAGACAACTTGCAAAGACCATTCCACCTGCAGTCTGAGAATGCATCTCTTGCTGTGAGCACAATGGTGGGTGGCATTCTCTTGAGTGTACATTTGGCAAGGCGTTTGTCATTTCAGAAGCCTGGGTTTATTTCCCTAGCTCTTCAGTTTCACTTGCATTTAAGGGAGAAATCTATCTCCTGTTTGGCCTTCTGTCTCTTAGTAGAGGATAAAGCTCCCTCTTTCTTGTGCATACTGACTTGGCCATTCCAGCCAGTGTGACTTCCGACCGGAGCCTCACAGAAGGTCCCTGCAGCCGCCTGAACTGACCATCACAGCATGTCAGCAAGGGATGGTCCTGCCCTGCTCTGTGCCAGCACTGTGTTAGGCCGTTTATATATCTCAGCCCTTGTGCTAGCCTTGCCAGATAGCTACTGTTCTTTCTTATACTGTTCTTTTATAGAAAATAAAACTGAAGCTAAGCAAGGCTAAATAACTTGCCCAAGTTTTCCCTATGAAACAAGCAGCTGAGCTATGATTCAGACCCAGGTCTGTCTAACATCAAAGCTCCCTCCAGCACACATGCTGCCTCTCTGAGTTGACAACCACCTTCTTTTCCTTTATTTTTATTTTTTTATTGTTAACTACTTCCTTCTCCCTCTTGTCACTGCCACTTGAACCATCTCCATCATGTAGCCATATGATTGGAAGAAAATTTTTTCTTTCTGAGTCCTGTTTCAATCACTTACTAACAAACAGCATTTAAAGTTAAAAAAAAAAAGATTATTTTTTTTTTGCTTTAACCACAGTTGGATATTCGAGACCCCATGTTATACTAATAGTCACTGGCATTTTGGTGGAGCTTTTCTTTTTACAAAGTTTGGTCTCATTTCATCTTCAAAGCAGTTCCATAAAATGCACAAATGTCATATCGTACCCATCTTACAGATAAGGAAACTGAGGTTCAGGAATATTGGAAACTTGACTCTCGTGAGCCAGCCTTAAGAAGCCTGGAGAAAAACAGGAGTTCCTTCTCCCTCCTGCCGCCGCTCTGGTTTCCTATCCAAGGCCCTGCTCTTACATCAAGTATCTCTCGTGCACCCGGCGCTGTTTCAGCAGCTGGGAAGAGGCAAAGCTACATGCGACAAGAACTCCAGGGTTCTGAGTCCCAGTCCACTGCCAGCTTGCCTCTTGTGTTTCATCTCTGTTTGGCTGTGGGAAATAGAGAATTTCCAAGAGAAGATCCCAATTTCCACCATAACTTTAACCATCACTAAAATTCCCTCTGAATTTTCAGTCCTATTGGGGAACAGAAATTACCTGAATGTGTACATCTGTGTTTGTGGATATCTACAGGCTATGTACCATGGATTTGGAGTTCCTTCCAGTATCCTCTCCCTAAACCCTCTGCTAGCACCCCTGACCAGGATTGGTGTTCCTTACCTTCCTGCCATCCTCCTTGGGGAAGGGCTCCTGGCAGCCTAAGGCCAGGCAGAGAAGAGGTGTGGCACCTGGGCTGTGAGGGGGCAGTGGCTGGTCCACGGGAGGTGCCCAAGCAGACAGTGTCCCGGAGGGAGAGAGGAAGGCAGCTTTCAGGCTTGCGTGAGAGAGACTGGTCAGACTGAGAGAGTTACGGAGACTCCAGGGGTGGCCAAGGCCTCCCTGGGCCCCTTCTTCTACATTCTATGGGTCACAGCAAAGGCAAATCTTGATTGGTTAAGACTCTGCACCACATACATGAAGAACTGAAAACTGCTGGGAGCATCCAGCAAAATTCTCAGTCACAACCTTCAGAGTGGAAACAAAAGCATCTCCATTTTGAATAGTTAATTGTTGCTTATATACTGTTTTCAAAAGGAACTGTGGAAGACGAACTAAGGCCTCTAGTCAGATTTAGTTTCTCCGCTGGCGGAGGAGAAATAGATGCTGTGTCGTATCAGTGGGTGGGGGTCACAGATCAGATTTTGGTTTTAGTTGGGGTTTCTAACATTTGGAGTAGGAGGTCCTTAACTCAGCTTCCCCATATCTATCATTGCAGCAGAAAACTAGGAATAAGTGGTCTTCAGAAATTAGCCAGCCATATTAACCCCAGATGTACATTTATAAGTATGTGTATTTATAAGGACACCTGGAGTGTGCCCAGCAGTTATAACTCTTCTAAATGCTCCGTCTACACGACTTCAGTTCAGCCTCGCAGAGTTCTATGTAGGTAGATAGTCCTTCTTCTCACAGGGAAGTCACTGAGGCACAGGGAAAGTGGCCTTCCCCAAAGTGACCTCCTCATTAGGGACAGATGTAGGATAAGAATCCAGATCCCCAGCTGAGTTTCAGGGCCCAGCATCACCCATAGCAGCCAACCCTGTGCTCTGAAACTTGGTGAGATGGGAAGCCTGGAGGAGTAAGGCTGAAACAAACATTTCTGACCCGCTTCCTCGGATTTGGTCCACCGAAAACCCAAGCTGATCCTTCCTTTGAAATGCCACCACCTCAGTGTGGGTCCTGGAATCACCAAGGTGACGAAAAACGTCACTATGTTTTGAGATAACATCCTCAGAAAACCTCCTAAGTGGGGAGCCATTGCAATATTCAGATCATGAACCCTTTGTAATATTTTTGTAATGTTTGTGTTAATACATACATGAACAGACCAATGCTAGAAATATTCAGTCAGTAACGTGATTAATGAAAATTTTCATGTACTTCTTTTGTGTTGTCTTCTGCTCAAACACATTTATTGTTTCTCAGTTGTGGAAACAATAGAATAGTTTCCAAAAATCATGTCTCCAATGATGTAATAAGTATAGGCTGACAAATAATCTGTACTCAAGCGAGTTCCCTTCCATTTCCTGTGGATTTCTGTAACTGCATCACTGGCCATGGAAATTGTAGGCTGCAAACCATATTAAGTTTCATACCAAATCTCGTTTATACCACTTTTAGCAACAGCTGCTTAGAGGAAGGAAATTGTGTCCCTTTATTGTATACTTTGAACTTCTTTTAAAAAATCACCCTGCGAGCCCCCAGATTGAAAAAAGAAAAAATGATTCAAAGAAAAGCATTAAAGACTCAAACCTCAAGAGACAGATGTGCTTCTTTTTGGAGCTTCTTTGATGGAATATCATGACATAGGGAAAAAGGAGAACGTAATTGTTTTTGCTTACAACCTTCTTAGAATCAAAAAGCAAAACAAAACAGGAGTCTGTATGAGCTAAGGTCTTTCAACTGTGTTTCATTCCATTAGGCCTGATGTGGCCTCCATGTGACTTCACACACAAATGGTGCCAAGCTTGTTTTGTAGGAACAAGCTGGAAAGGGGATTCAGTGCAGGAAGCTGGTAGCAAGGCCGGGCTGGAAGCTGGCGCCAAAACCCTGCTGTGTTCTCTCAAGGCCCGACCTTCTCCAGCTTAGGAGCGCTGGCCCGGGGCTGCAGCTCCAGCTCTGCCAGCAACCGGCTCATTGCGTGACCTCATCCCTCCTTTTCCTCATCTATTAAACAGGGCACGGAAGAGGCTGTGGCTGTGATGGCCCTTTGAAAAGCAGGGGCAGGGATTCTTGAATCCGGCTTCACATTAGAACCATCTGGGCAGCTTTGGAAAATGTGGACTGCCCCAGAAATTCTGATGTATTTGGTCTGGAGCCGGCCCTAGGCATCGGTGTTTTTTAGAAATGCCCCAGGTGATTTTTCCTATGCTGTGAGGGCTTAGAAACACTGATGTAGAGCGTTGGCTCATAAAGGCAGCTCGAGGGGGTGTGTTTATGGGCCTGATGAGTTCTAAGACTCCACAGCACGGGATGCCAGTCAGGTTCTCCCTACACGGTGGATGGAGAACCTGGCTTGAAATTTTCATTTTTGTATCTTATAATGACACAAAAGAGGCTAAAGATAGCAAGAGTCTATGGGTATGGTTTACGCCATGTTTGTGATATTGATACTGAAAGGCATCCAAGCCCAGGCCGAGCCAGGAAGCAGGATGCTTGTCATAAATGGAAGGGTGCTGAAGAACATCAAAAACGCACAGGAGGTGTTACTGCGTTTCAGGCGTCGGTTTTAGTTGATTCTGTTTCCTTCCCCCTGCCCACCTTTCAAATGACTGACATTTATAGCTGTGTTTTGCAGTGATTCTGGACGTGGGAGCAGCCTCTTAGATAGAACCATTGCTGACAGACGACAGCTTAATACAATTACTTTGCCAGACTTCAGCGATCCCGAGACAGGTGAGAATCAAAAGCCAGAGGGGATGAAATGGTGTCAGCGACAATGTGGGGCCTGGCCCCGAGCGGTGTGGGATGAAGACTGCCAGGGACTGGGGTTGGAAAATTCCTCACGCAAATAGGTTCACCTCTCAATTGAGGTGCATATTCTCCAGGGTCTTTTTCAAGCGTGTGTTCACAGTGGAGGAAGTAATATTACTTGCCCAATACGACTCTTTGAAATCTTTATATTTTTCTCCTTGCTCTTGGAGCCTGAAATTCGAAACTAAAATTAGATTGTTCCCATCCCCATCGAGCTTTCCCTCTGCTTTTCTGTTTCTCCCTCTCCCTTTAGATTTGAGACCTTGCCGAAGTCAAGGTTTGGATTTCTAATCAATTGCACATATGAACACACATACACCCAGCAAAAGGACCCTCTGGGGAGGCAGGTGGGTTCTCAGCTTTTGACCCAACTGTCCCCACAGGGAGGCCTGTAGCACTCACTGCCTCTGAGCAAATATTTACTCCTTGTTGTCATTTGCATGTCCATATTTGCCTAAGTACGGAGGAGTAAATATACCTCTGTCATTTCCAGAACTCCAAACAAGCAATTCTAATAGTAATACTGACTGTTCAGTGGCAATCTGGAGGACTGGACAGACACAAAATATAAGGAAATTCACTCCACTTTGAGCCTCAAAGATAGTTCCAGAGCATCATTTGGAAGCTGGTTCTGTTGCTCCTCCCTCCACCCCACAGGGGCCCGTGTAAGAATAATAGATCGCTGGGTATGCCTGGTCTTTTATGGACTGGCTTCACGAAAGGAGCCTCCACACCCTTCTCCTGCCCTTGTGCCAGGTCCCAGCTCCTGACCGAGCCCTTCCAAAGAAAGCCAGAGAGGAACCCTGGGGCATGCGCAGCCATCCCCTGGAAAATCTCTGCCCAGGTGGGATGGAAGGGATAGAGCCTCTGGGCACCCGGTGTGGTACTCCCCCAAGCCCATCTTCACAGCCACCTGAAGACTGTATTCCTTTGCTAGGCTCCCTTTTACCAGATTTAAAGTTGGCTTGAGAAGTCTAATCCCAGAATCCTGGGGCTCCTAGTTCAAAAGAGTGTTGGGCATTGGAAGGAGCGCCAATTGCAGATTACTATGGGGCTTGACATGGCTGGCAGCCACTGCTCAAAATGCGGACTAAGCCGCAGAGAAACACCCCCTGCAGTGGCCTGAGCCCTGGGTTGATCAGCAGTCCTTGGTGGGCTTGGACTGCAAACCAGGCAGACACTCTGACTTGGATGAGCACAGCCAAGTTCTGCCCATGGGTCCGGTCCTCCTGGAGACACTGTCTAACCCTCTTCATTGCTAGAAAGGGCAGGTCAGGCTGTCAGGACTAGCCACTGCAGGGTGAGGCTACAGGGCAGAGAGGAGAAGGAGGGGACGCTCCCTACCGCACCAGCGGCAATTTTGGCTGATTCAAAACAGCTGCTGCGGCTGCCCAGGGCTGTCCTCCCCCTTCACCCCTCCCCAGGTTCCCGTGAGGACAGTCATACCACATTCAGACCCCCTTTCCTTCCAGCTGGCCGGGACCTTAATTTCCCCTGAGGTCCCAAGACTTTCATGCCACATCACATGACAATAGGTAGTGACAGAAAATAAGTGAGGTCCCTGTTCTCATTGTCTCCTTTGCCCCTTAGGACATTTTCCCTAGAGCCCTCAGGAGTCTCCCTCTTCAGGGTAAACCTTCTCAAATGCCATAGTGTCCAGGTGAGGTGTGGCTGTGTGGCACAGCCAGGGGTCGCTGCCCCCTTCTCCTTAGTGGTGTTTATGCGCCTGCTCTCTCTCTCTCACTCCGGGAGCCAGGTGGTCGGAGTCTGGATGGCTGGTGCAGGTGCCCTTGAACAACAGGAGAAAACCACAGCCTCTCAGGCACTGACAGTGACCATTTTATTGATGTATTATCCACAGGAGTCCCTCCAAGACTCCTTGCACTGGCCCTGCCCTATAGCCCCACATTGTTGGTTTGCACACCACCCATTACTTACCCCGGAGGCCAGGGAATCAGAAAAATGGAAGGCCATGTTAGGAGGCCTTGTCAATTGCAGACCAGTTGTAAATGAGGGTAAAGCATTCTGAAATGATCATTTAACTCAAAGAGACTTAAAAATTAGGAAGCTCATCCAAAAATGGAAAAGATGCCTCCATCTTGGTTGATGAAGCCCAATTTTATAGAGTTCAGCTCTGTGGACAGTCGCAGGAGGGCCAGCACGTTCTTATTCGTACACCTATGTGGATGGCCTGCCTTGTGAACAACCCGCAGATCCTGTTTAAACTCCAGTTCGGAATGTAGCATAGAGAAGTTTTGCTTCCGTCCCTGCCCTTCCATCTTGTCTTTCCCTTTAAAGGTAACCATTTTTGTTAGCTTTTTTGTTTACCCTTCCAGTGTTTTTTCATGCAAATAAACACAGGTATTATTTCCCAGATCCCTTACATAAAATATAGCATACGATATGTATGCACTGTTCAGCACTGCATTTTGCACTTCACAGCATATCCTGAAGATCCCTCCTTACCCATTGTAGAGCATGTCCTCTTCTTCTTTACAGCAGCATAGTATTCCATGACACACGGATTTCACGTTCTGGACTTATCCATCCGGCATGATCTTGGCCATTTTCCTTCCCTTTGCTGCATTTTCAGCTCACGTGGTGCTGAAGGAGGCTGGGTGATTTTGAATATCCACTGCAGCGCTGCTCATTTAGGAAAGCAACTGGGTTGTAGAGAAAAAGAGAAAAGGAATTTATCCAAGTAAAAGTGGTCCCAAATCAACACAGAAGTGACTCTGAGATCAGCTGTGGTCTCAGAGAGCCCAGCCCTGGCAGGTGACAGCTTGTCAATAGCGTTGGTCCATGCCACACCCGGTGCTTCCCTGCTTTTCTAAATGCCCTGATTTAAAGGGCACAGGCATCTGACACAAGCAAAGCTGTACAGTGGCCAAAGCCGTGGTGAACTTGCACTGTCTCGATCTTGCCAGTGCCAAATCAGCCCCATACAGATTGACTCCTTTATGAAGCCGCAGGTCCTCTTGGATCTCTTGTTTTTGTGTTCCAGACTAAAATTTATTTCCTTTTTATTTTTTTATTTTCTATTGTGGAAAATTTTCAAATATACCAAAATAGAGACGCTAATCTAACAAATCCCCGTGTACCTACCTCCAGCCTTCAACAATTAGTATTCTTTTTTCATCCATCTGTCCTGTCCCACACTTAGTTTTTGTAGAGTATTTCGAGGCAAATCCCAGCCATCATATTTCACCTGTTAAAATTTCAATATATATGTCAAACAGGAAAGAACTTTAAAAAATTTAACCACAATACCATTATTATACACCTGGGTCATTACAAAGCGCTGGCTCAGTGTGCTTGATTTTGGAAGGGGCTGGCATAGTTCATTAACTAGAACATGGTTTTCTACTGCTGAAATTGTCTATATGCCTATAGATGTGTAGACCTATAGATCCATAGACATATAGACCTGTGGAATAATGTAAGGAGAGCCAATGTCTAGAAGCTTTGGACTGGCCAAGTCCACTGTGGCTTGTAGAGTAGATGCTGGTTTTATTACATGGATGTGGCAAATTGAAAAAGCCCCCCTTAGAGAGCATGATTTCCTTTCTAATACCTCTGGCTCTCCTTCCCCCGACCTCTGTTGTCTAATAGGTCCCAGCATCGCCAAAGAGGAATCAGATGGAGTGACAGTCTTAACTCTGAGGCTGTGAATCATTGGCTTTTCTTTGGAATAAATTGGTAGTTCCTTAAATAGAGGATGAAAGGGTTTTTTTCTTCCTTTTGCCTTCAAAACAGGATGTGGAATAAGGAAATTTATCTTTAATCATTGGTAGATATTACTGGACACCTATCCAAAACAAAATAATTCTTTTAACTTGAAAGTTTGGTCCATTTTGTCTGGGAAGATGTTTAATTGTCACTGTGGTGGTCCCCCTATTGCTGTGTATCTCTCCAGCTGTAGGACATGGAGGTGGCAGTGATAGCTTCCTTTTCAAAGTGCCCAGCCGGTGCACCCAACCCTAAACCAGCTTAGAAAGCTTAGCACCCCATTGTCATGATGCTGGGAGCGTGACATATTGTCGCACTCGGCACCTGCGCCTAGGAAGACCTTAGTTCTCAGGTAAACTTTATATAAGTGCTTCTCATAAAAAACAAATCTAGGAAAAGTCAAGTTCTAACCCTTTCCAATTGAAAAGCAAATAGTTTCCTCTAGAACGTCCTGGATATTGTAAGTTAAAGATGTATTATTTTCAGTGCATCATACTGCTGAATCCGTGCCCAGGTAAATCTGAGTTATTTTTATTCCATGGTGGTGTTGCAGAACAGTTAAATAACCAGTGGAAAAACGATAAATTTGTTTTCTTCGAAAAGCACTTGTATTCTATTTGTCAAGTAGAGGGATGATTGTGTATTACATGACCTCATTTTCTTTGCAGCTTATGTGAGTATATTAAAAGCTAGTTTATTTTTTTCTTTGTGTTTCTAAAGCTTTTTTGCCTTTATCCTTTTTTTTTTCTCTTTCACTTTTTTAGTGTCAGATTCCTCCTCCTCCTCCTCTTCTCTTTCAAGAACCGAATCTCCTCTCCACCTGTTTGTATCTTCTCATCTTCATTCTCATCCCAAACCCGATACCTTTGTGTGGCCCCCTGCAGCTCATTCATTCAGTGACCCAGGCCCCCGCCGGGAACCCTCTCTGTGTAAACATGGTTTATGGTTTTTCCTTTCTTGGTAGTCCTGCTTCATTTGCCTGATGTTTCATGTTCTGATAATCTTCCTAACTGATAAGCTGGATAGGAAACTCCATCAAATTTATCTGAGAGAAAATCTTGCCAACTTGAAAATCCAAAAGCTGTTTGGGGCAGAAGGAGACATCAGTGCCCAAGTTCTAATCTCCTCTTTGAAAAGTAAAGGAAACCTGTTCTGAGCAGAATAAATAGAAGCTTTTCTAGAATATAGCTTCTAGTTCTCGGGTACTTCAATACAGTGCCATTTCCTGGAGTTGGTTTAAATGCATAAAAATCCTATTTTTAAAAAAGGCAAATTAGAACATTTTGCAGATAATCACTTATTCCTAAATATTTCTGGTTTTCAATTTAGAAATTAATTCAACAAGTATGTAGTAATCAAGGTAGTATTCTAAAGATAATGGCCATATGCCCTTTAAATGTATGGTTCTCAACGTTATGTGCATTAAAATCACATAGCCTTGAGAGCTGCAGAACCCCTGCGCCTACCCCCAGAGTTCATGATTTGGTAGGCCTGAGTTGGGGCCCAGGAATCTGGATTTATAAAGTACCCTCTATGATTCCATTGCTGGTGGGTTATATACAACGTTTTGAGAAACGATGCTATAAATTGGTTTCCATTTGTAAAGAAGGAAAATGTAGGGTTTGTGTCATGAAACTATGCAGGGAAATCGAAGAGTATTTTAATATAATCTTGCTTTTAAGTAATACAGAAATTTGAAAGTCTCTTTTAGGTGTTCGGGGACCTGTCAATGAGAAAAAAGAACAGATCCCTGTGTTAAAATGAAACACTGGTTGATAAAGTCCTTAGATGGGACCTAAATGTGGGTTTCACCAGCAGAGTCCCCGCTTGTTTTCCTTCCCTCATTTATTTAATGTTCTCTTGTCCGGCAGCACTGGCAGAAAATTTAATCTCTATATCCGTGATTTATACGGGCTCATCTTTGTTCCAAATGTTCAGTTATCTGCTGAACAAAAGCTCATAAGGGAAAGTGCTGCCAGAAAGAGCTACCTTCTCTAATGTGCTCATCTTTCGGATGGCTAACTGGCTGGTAAACTCTCACACATACAAAGTCGGGGCAGAAATGAGGCTATCATCTAAAATAAATCATTCAAAACAAGAAACGCTCTGACCTTACTTATCTGCATGGTAAGTGTTCTGAACTTTGCTTTAATGGCAATCTCAGTTTTATGAAATGGAAGATGAGGATAATGTTTATAAACTGCTTATGTTGTTTTTAATCTACTTCTTAAAATAGATGTTTTCCCTTAGTACAATCATAGAGGCAATTGCCAACTTCGGTTTTTCCAGAAAAATTGTTTATTACGTTGACTTTTGCCCAATTTTTTGTCTTAAAATGGGATCTTACTGTTTTATAATAACGTTGTATGCTCTCACTGCCCCGTCCACTCTCATTTGCACAACAAACCCGCCCACCTCCACACTCTTCCGGTATTTGCTGTGTTGAATCCCAAGGAGCTCTGTGTTCCTTAGACCTTTGAAGATTGAAGTGCTGAGTCTTCCAATGAGGCACTTTGTATCAGGTGAATTATTAAGTTGTCAGGGTGACGGGGACCCACTGGGCTTTCTGCTGAAGGTACCATGTCCCAAGCAGTGCTCAATTGTTTGTTCTTTGTGAAACTGTCATCGTCCCAGCCTTCGGGAGTGCCTAGCCAGTAACCCAGCATTGTAACTAAGGCTGAAACATCCAGGAATCTTTTTTACCCCACAGATATAACGTTTAGAGAAGAGAAAACACACCATACTTTACTGATAAATGTAGAATTTCTTGATTAAAAATGCAATGAATTTGAATCCCAACTCTTTCCATTAGGACAGATAATCAAGACCTGAAGTTTTGTCAATTTCCCCCTCCAATCTTTTGACTTCATAGGAGTGAAAACTAGCCCAACCCTACAAACTGTTGGAATCATGATTAGGGTTAATGTGTGGAAAGATCTGAAAACTGCTTGTTTGATTATTTTCCCTTCCCTTTGGAATTTCCTGCCCTGGAAACAAAACACATTACACGAATTGGTCAGCTTTCATGTGCTGGGTGAACATTTAAATGTAGAGGGGAATGCCCAGTTGGCCTTTCTTTGGTTAAAAAAAAAAGTCATTGTTAGTGGAAAAACATGTGTCACTCTTGGATTGAAATGTGACTCCAGACAGCCAGACTTACAGTTGGAAGGTTGTGAGAACTCTGTTTGCTTTTTTAGCCTTAATTTTGATTTTTCAAATGTTTTGTTTCTTGGTTTTAATTTTTGGTTTGATTTGTTGTTCCAAGGCAACTCTCCAGAAGTATACTTTCATGGTTTTCCCTCCCTTTTTTCAGTTAGTAAGTAGTTTACCAATCTATCTATTAACCTTTCTGAGACTCTCCAGAATCACGCTTCCCTCCACCATGGAATGTGTGTTGTGGTTGTCAACTGCTGGGAATGTTGTGATGGTGTGGACACTGAGCTGCCACCTGCTTGCCCACGCCACCACCTGGGGCCCATCTCTCCTGAGATCCTAATGCATTCCTTCGCAGCTTGCGTGTAAATTCTGAGGAGGCAGTACTTGTGTGGGGAGGACTACAGAAGAAGGCATTGCGGGAAAAATGCCCAAGTAAGGGCGTGGGTGGGTAGGTCAGCAGCCCCACTGGTGCTGATCAGAACTGTGAGACACCCAGCCTCCCCAGGGCGGGTCGTCTGTACATTTTGGGTAGAGGAAGCCAGCTGAATCTTGAAATTCCTTTCCAGTTCAACCATTATTGCCACGTAGAAAAGCAATTCTAATAATTACTTTTCCTAAAGAAAGCTAAACTACATCTACCAACATTTAAAGGAAACTGAGCAATTCTCTGGGTGTAGGACTAGTGCTTTAGGTGGTGTTCTTTGAAGGCATTAGTGAATTATCACATTTTCCGAAGGATGGTTCTTAGGCCACTGATTCTCTCTGGTCAAATATTTTTGGGAAGTCGTGCATCTCCCTCTTAGAGACTCACAGGTCACGTTAGCACATTAAAGTCCTGAAATTTAAAAAATTGAAGACTCTTAACTTTGACCCAGTGTTCCCAAGCTAAATTCCTCATTTTTTCCACCCTTTGGAATCCAGGGACTGTATTTTGGGAAATGCTAATGTATATACTGATCCAGTGCCTTTGAATGATCTGAACCTTTACTGCTTATGGCATATGTACCCCTCAGGGAGTCGATTTCCCTTCTGAAATCCAGCTCAGCCTAGATGGATTTTATTTCTGGCTTTAAAAAGTCCGTAACAGAAAAGAGTTATGTTTGGTATTGTCGTCATATTAGGGTTCTTCAGGGAAAAAAAAGTTTCACTTTTAATATCAGGCTCCTCGGATACATGAAAAAGATTTGATTTTCAGAAAGTCAGGTTACTTTCACATCTCCAAGCAGCCCTTCTTAGTTAAAGTGAGGCTTGTATATTTATACAAGGGACTTAATTGTCTTCCACAGAAACGGCTCCCGCTTTCTCAAAGGTCAGGAGACCTGGGGTCAAGGGCCAGTTCTGCAGAGGGACCCACGCAACTCATTTAAGCTCCCTGGGCCTTAGTTTCCTCATGGGTAAAGAGGTCGGCTTACGAACCCTTCTGTCCACGCACGCCTCTGTGGTTAGCCAGCAGCTGATCCTGGTTTCGAGCCTCAGCCAGGTGTCCTTCTCCAACTGCAGCTCCCAGTGGGAAGTGACGTGCCGGGTGGCAAGGGCCGGATGGTAACGCAGCTGCCCAGGGCTCCTGCCACGCTGCCCATCACTCCTTAGACTTCAGGACCCCAGGCGCCCCCATTCTTGAGTGCTCTAGCCATCGTCATTTTGGAGAAAAATGTGTGCTGACGTTTTATTCTCCTCTCCAGAATGTGCTAAACCCAAGAATGCCAACTTGGGTTCTTGGCTCAGCTTTTCACATCACCAATACTGGTGAAACTGTTGTTCTCTTTAGGAATGTGTAACTGGGAGGAGAGAAGACATAGATTAACGAAAAAACACACCTCTCTAATGACATAGATTAAGAATAAATTAAAGGTAGTAGCTTTTACATTATGGCCAGCATTTTATTATTGACTTTGCATTTTCTAACATTCAAAAATGTATATATCACAATCAGGAAGTGACTAGTCAGTTAGGTGACATATTTCACACTCTGCTCCTAGAATAGTTTCTATTTTTTTTTTAAATCTATGTAGGAAAAGTTACTCTAGTGATGACCCTATTGCTTTTGAGGGGTGGCAATTTAAAAAATTCAGCCACAATGATTCAGCTTTAACCTTTTCTTGCTATTTTAGTGAAATTAAAATTAATTTAATTCTCTTGAGTTAGTTCTGTGGTGTCTTTCTTTGAACAAGATTGAGTAGAATTTTAGGAGATTGACAAGTCAGTAATAAATGGCACTCAAATAGAAGGTGAGGAGCATGTGTCCACTAATTAGACTATTGCCCAAACCTGGGAGGCTTTTCCCATGTGATGCCTTCACAGACAAACAGCCTTCCCCAGGCAGAAGGGCACTTCAGTCCAGAGACAGCCTCATGAATATGCAACGGGGAGGGTTTCGATGGAGATGGAAGCATATGCCCAGTGTAGTCCTCCAGAAGGTACTGTCTCCAGCCCAGAGCCACAGCGCGTCTCACAGTGACAGCTGGCATCTTCCCGCATGCTTGTGAACGGCTTCCCTCCACGCTTTCCTTGTGACCACCTGGCCCTGCCCACACCCGCCAGCAGCATGCTGGGCCGCCCCCGCATGCCCACTGGTGACCACATACCCCAGTCCCTCCCTGAGTTGGTGGGATCCTCCCCCAAAGCTTTCCCTGGAAAGAACTTCCCCTTTTCAGAAGAAGACACATCCTGTCAGGTTTACACTGTGCTTGACAGTCTGTTAAAGTCATTTGGAAATTGTGATCTCGTCTTGGGACCATGGGTTTGGCTGTCCTGATTTACTTGGCTGTCTTAATCTCTTTTCTGCTCAGTGAAAAAAGAATCTACTAGGTTGGTGACCAAAGTTATTTATCAGAAGAACCCACAAGCAGGAGGCCCCATTGTCAGTGGGAATTGGGTAGGACCAGGCAGTTGCCCACCAAGTCACTGCAGCCTGGCACCCCCATCACACTGGTGGACGCGCTGTGAAGAGGGGAGCTCCATCGTGGAGTTAAAAATGTGGAAGGGAGCTCTCTGACAGCACAGTATGAGGAGCTCGCCACCCTAAATCAGCCTCCTCAGGAAAGCAGGGCTCCCTCCAGCCAAGACGGGGATTGTCCTCATGCCTACAGGGGTGGGGTGGGGGTGGGGGACCAAAATGTTTGATGCTAAAAAATGATGCAGAGAAAATATCCTAATTTGAGGGTTGAAGTGAAAGTGGCCTCTCATATCTCCCCTCCCCCTTCAAAAAGTAAGAGACAGTCATCACTGGCTCCCCAGTGGGTGACAAGCAGACATGGGACTTGGGATGCTGCCACGTGCTCCATCATCCTCCCATATTCGTGCACATGAGGCATCCAAGTTAATACTCCAGGGCTGGGAAACAAAGAACAGCCTGAATCCTGAGCCCCGAGGACATGCTGGTTCTTAGGGCACAGGTGGCAGGTGTGAGAAGGTCATGGGCTGCCAGCAGCCCACACTATTGGGCTGATTTACTTTCAAGCCCTATCTTGAGAAACAGACATTCTTTTCCTGTTAAAACTGAAAAATTTTAAGCAAAGCTCTCTGGCAGAATGCTTAGTCATTCAGATTGCTGTTTAGCATTCGGAGTCTTTAAGAGGTGGAACTACTGCTTTTTTTCTTTAATTGTTTTGGGGGCACAGCTTCTAAGAGCTAGAAGCTGGAGAACTCTGTTGACAGATAATAGTGAATCCTTTCAGGACTGAGGGAAATAAGTATGGAGCTGCATTAGCAGTGGGCGATTGCTGCATGCCCATTACTGGGTTGGCTGGGTTTCTTTTCAGAAGAACTTGGGGAGAGCAGGTATCTGCTGCTGCAGCATTAGGCAAAGAGAACGTGGGTGACAAGCAGAGAGATGGGACTTGGGGTGCAGCTCCATCATCCTCCCATATTCATGCCCCTGAGGCATCCGAGTTAATATTCCAGGGCTGGGAAGCAAAGCGCGGCCCGAATCCTGGGCCAACACATGTGAGATCTATCTACTGATGTCTCTTGGGTAGATGATTTTTTTTCGCACGTAGTGTGACATAGTTGTCCTTTGTTCCTGGACTGTGGTGCTCACCAGGTCACTCGGTGGGCAGGGTTTCGTCTGAGATCTAGTTCATCTTCTACGTGCTGTGAAGATATGAGGGGAGAGGGAAGGTGGACATCCTTCACCCTATAGCAGCTTCCTTACATGTGCCACCAGAACATTAAAAGGGTAGCTGAAATATAAATGCATGCCGTGCATGCAGTGACCCTGCTCATGAAAATACAAGGTTGTCAAAGGTAACTAAGCCACATAATTTATTGAGGCTTTTGCTTAACAAAATTATTGGCTCTGAGATCCCTTTGAATGATGAGCTTTGGTGAAATAGAGTTTGTACGTGATTGCCACATTTGAGGTCTACATGAAATTGGCCGCAGGTGTAGTGTGCTTCGGAAAGAGGATTTTTGGAAAGCCTTCAACTGCGAAGGCAATTTGAGCTGGCTGTCCCCAATGTCCTACTTGTGGCGAGGTTTCTCAATAGGCTTCAGCATATGATAGGAGCATGGGTCAGAAATCCTTGGGTGGCGTTCAGAGTGTGGACTCACATCTTCCTGAGGTCAGTAGCCTCAGTTCCTGGTCCTCTCTATTGCCTTCTCCCTCCCCCAGCGCCACACACATGGTGGTCCAAGGGGGACCCCAGATGAAAACCCTGAGTACAGGGACCTGAACAGTTCTTCAGGTGGGACTTGGCCTTTGTATCAGGTGTCTGAGATCACATTTTCTCTTGGGCGTCTAGGTGGGAGGGAAGAGAAAGCGGGGGGCTTGAGGAAGTAGCGCAGATCTCCTTAGTTCTAGGGCATCTTATGCCCCCTGGACCATCTGGGCAATTAGGTCACAGAACCTAGGCCAGATTTTAGGGTGTGCTCTCACCTGCCTGCATCAGCACTCGGTTAAGGTGGCTTCTCAGAGCCACTGTGTCCTGTGACTGAGGGACCTGCTGGAGCACGGCAGCTGCTCAGCCCTCAGGGTTTCAACAGTGATAAGCACTTCTCAAATTAATGTGATAAATAGGAGATGCACAGCAGCCAGGCGCTTTCCCTGGCTTTCCTGGCGACCCTGATTATTTGGAACCTTATTTCTCCAGAGTCTTGGGTTTCAAATGAGGGATATGTCTTATATTCCTCCCTCTGATTCCTTTTTCAAGCCTCACTTCGTCCATTTCCCTTAGAGTAACAATTGTCTTTGCCCCCACGTATGTTGTAGGAATACGTTTGCTTTGGGAGAAGGAAAAGGGTTGCTTTAACAATATGTTGGTTAGAACTAGTGTTGCTAGTTGTTTACCTACATAAATCAAAATCCAGCATCTAATTCGGCACTTACCATTTCAGTCCTATGAAACAGGTTGTTCTGAATTTTTTTAATCAGATATATCCATTCTGATTCACAATGTTTATCCTTTTTTTTCCTCCAAATTCTAATCCAATGGAAGAATATGATTTATTGTGTTATAGCCAGGAATAGTAGATGTTAGCTCCTAAATAATTTTACTGTTATTATTACTCACCTGCTGTTATTAATAAATATCTGAATGCTCTAATCCATCCCTCGTTCAGAACATGAAGGGTCTCTGCCCGTTTGAAAAGAGATTGACTAGGAAGGAAAACATTATTTCTGATAAAGCTCAGTTATTCTCCATATTTAAATAGGTTAGTTATATTAGGGATGGGGAAAGTCACTAGAGGAGGTGCAGTGTGTCATCTAACTATGTGCTGCTGTCGTTTTTGGTCCCAGTTGTTGGGAGTGATGACAGCCACCCTGAGAAGCCCTTTGAGACAGTGCAGGTTCTGTCCTCTGAGCCACTGGGAAGGAGAGTAGAGCACCCAGGCATGCATCCAAAGGAGGGGACCGCTGGCTTCCAAATTTCATACAGTACTCACTCATTCCTTCACTCATTCATTCCACTAGGATTTACCAAGTCCTTCCCATGGGCCTGGCATTGATAGTGCCTGAAAATACCTCAATGGAAGACGTGCTTCCTGGCTTCTAGAACCGCACCCAGTCTAATAGAGACAGTTACATCAACCCTAACATAAAACAGTGTGGTCTGTACGGTGATAACCAGACCAACAGACTGTTTGGGGAGCACCAAGGACCCGAGGCCTAACTTTACAGGGAGGTGGTAGGGAGAAGAAACAGAAGGCTCACAGCAGGCTTCCTGGAGGAGGTGGTGTCAGAGCTGGATGTAGAGGTTAGATTTGGAGTCAGACTAGTGTTTGAGTCCTGGTTTTGCCACCTGCTGGCTGTATGACTTTGAGTAAGTTGCATAACTTCATTAAATCTTAAATTTTGTCATCTAAACACTGCAGATAACATTGTTACCTGCTTCACAGAATTGTTTAAAGATTAAATGAGATAATATATGTAAAGTGCTAATCACAGTGCCTGAAACATGGTATGTTCTCTAAAACTGATAACCACCACCATCATCATCATTACCAGACCTTATTCACAGTGCAACATATTATTATGTGAAGAATTAATTAATTTAATTGTATATAGATATCACGAAGAGCGGGAACTTTGGCAATAGTTCTGATAAGTTCATTTGTGGATCAAGCAAACAAAACACTTAATCCAGAGCCAGCAGTGATGGCCTAGTCATTAAAGTTTGGCACTCTCACTGCTTCGGTGGCCCGGGTTCCTTTCCTGGTGGCAGAACCACACCTCCCGTTTGTCAGTTGCCATGCTATGGTGGTGGCTCACGTAAACCTAGAGGGATTTACACCTGGGATGTACAACTGTGGGCTGGAACTTTGGGGAGGAAGAAAAAAAGGAAGATTGGCAACAGATGTTAGCTCATAGCGAATCTTTTTCTGCCAAAACAAACAAACAAATCAATTAATCCTAAAAGCAAAATTAGCCACAAGTCCTTGTAGCAAAGACACCAAAGAACCTGGTAGAAAAATTTGTAGAATATTTCTAAAGCAGTAGTTTATTTTTTTTAATTAATTAATAATTACATATTTTAAACATGTCTCAGTTTTTATTTCTCATGTGTAAATATCACTAGCTATAACCCACGTAAACAAAATCTCTGTAGGATTTTCATTAGCGTTTCAGTGTCTAAAGGGATTCTGAGACCAAGAGGTTTGAAAACCACCGTTCTAAAGAACAAGATCTTGGGGTCTGCTGGTGGCACAGCCGTTAAGTTCTCGTGCTCCGCTTTGGCGGCCCAGGGTTCACCAGTTTGGATCCCGGGTGCAGACCTACACACCATTTATCAAGCCATGCTGTGGCAGGCATCCCACATATAAAATAGAGGAAGATGGGCACAGATGTTAGCTCAGGGCCAGTCTTCCTCAGCAAAAAGAGGAGGACTGGCTGCAGATGTTAGCTCAGGGCTAATATTCCTCAAAAAAAAAAAAAAGAAAGAACAAGATCTTCCTGGAACTCTGTCCTCAGCTCACTGTGCTACAGGGAAGCAGGAGAGCTCAGACTGGCCGGCATGTGTAGAATACACTTTCAGGCTTTTCTTGCCAATTGGTAGTATATCTGCTTTCTGTCTGTCCAGGTCAGTGGGTCTCAGTCTTAGCTGTACATTGGACTCACCTGGGTGATTAACAAATAGATGCCTGGCCCCACCCCTAGAGTGAGCGCTTCACTTGGTCTAGTGTGTAGCTATGGCATCATGATATTTTAAATCCCTTGGTGATTCTGATGTGAAGCCAAGGTTGAGAACCACCGTTCAAGGTAGTCAGTGAGAAGGTAAGCCGGCCTAGTAATATGGGAATGCAGCAACAACCACCTCTACATTACGCATTTATTTAACTGACAGTTGCTATTAAAAATCACAGGGAAATTACATCAAGTCCTTGTTATCCAAGTTGAAATATTAATTTCCCATAAAAAGGTTAAAAACAAAACAAGACCAAAATAATCAACAACAGTTTAATCATCTTGCTGTTTAGATTTTTTTTTTTAAAGTAGTCGGACACGCTTTGTCTAAGCAAGGGTCACTTCTTAGCTGAACTTCATGGGCTCTCCTGCATCAGAGTGGCATCCACTAGTGGCTTTTAACTGGGCCTCCAGTTCCTCTTTGCATGGCAGCGTGCCCACTGGAGGACTCACTGGTCCTTTCCCAGAGGCGCTGTCCTGTTGCTCGCCCGCGTGCGGGCACTGTCTGTGTGGATTATCCACAGAAGGTGCGTTCCCAGTCTGGTTTCCATCCACCTCCCCTAAGTTGCCTCCACCAAACCCCCACCCAAGGATTTGAGTGTATTTAGAGGAGTCCATGTTTCCTTCATGTTGGAACAGTCAAAACACAATATGGATGGCCAGTCTATTACTGCAAATACTCTTAAAATGAATAAATTATGGTGCGTTTCAAAGCCCAACAGAAATTATTTTTATCCTCACGATTTTGTCTTATCCAGAATATCCCTAACTCAATTTGAGTAGTTAGCATTTGTCTTTATATATTATCAGTGTTTTAAACCTTAGGATAAGTTGAGAGTTACCACTAACAATGTCGAAGTTATTTATCTCCATTTTAAACTTTATGATGCATTATAAATTAAGAATGCTGCTGGTGAAAGTAAACATCAGCAGTTTAAATTTGAAATGACAGTGACTCCTGCCCTCAGTTCGGAAACCGTACCTGAAAGAATGAGTGTTGGAAAGAGATGGGGAACAAGCCCCGGTTTAAGGAGGCGGTCTCGATCGTCAGGACCTCTAGAAGGTCGAAGAAGAAGGAGTCACTTGATTTCTGAACGGAAGCTCTTTTACCAGATTCCTTTGACTAGTGAATGTGCCCAGTCCGCCCTTTCCCCGGCCTCTCAGGACAGCAGGTTTTACAGAAGAGTTAGGCAGGTGCAGCCTCTGAGCGCCAGGTGTCTTTGCTGCAACCTCTCCTCCACTAGTCGACTATTAGCCTCAATAATGGACATCTGCTTATACACAGGGCAAAAGTGTGCTTTGTCTACCATTTTTAAGCCTTGTCCTAGAATATGGTTCCAACTCTAGGGGTTGTTGCCCACCTGTTGAGGGGCAGGGAATGAAGTGGAAAGTTGCTGGGTTTGTCTGGAGAATGGCCTCCATGTACTCCAAATACCACCCCAGGAGGCGAGTGTGATTTCTCCCCCACCCCCCAGATGGTTCTAGTTTAGGCTCTGACGGGGGTGCTTTGTAACTTCCCTTGGTAGACTTCATTGATGCCCTGTTTCAACGTGTATATCACGGTTGTGGACACGTTGTACTCCTCTCCTGCCCCCAACACTCGCACTGAACTTGACCGAGCTCCTGGAGGAAGCACCTAGGGTAGCATGTGCCCTGGTTGTTGAGTAAAGGATCAGCTAAAGCAAGGGATGGACACGAAGGTTCCAGGCCATAATGATTGTCTGTATTTCTTTAGGGACAATAAAAGAAGCATCATGGGAAAAGGGGTGTGTATATGTCTCACGCTCTTGTCTGTGTCTGGGGGAGTGAGTTGGGTGTGGGTGGGTGGTTGGTTGGGTCTCTCCTTTCACTTCTGATGCCATCTTCTCAAAAACCTCTCACAGGCTCTATCCACGCCACGTCAGTAGCAGCCTCAAGAGTGGAGCAGGCCCTGTCGGAAGTGGCCTCGTCTCTACAGAGCAGTGCCCCCAAGCAGGGCCCGCTACACCCCTGGATGACGCTGGCGCAGATCTGGCTCCATGCAGGTACTACTCTGCTCCCACTGGGGACCTTCTACCCCACCGACCCCCACCCACCACCTGCCGCTGTGCCAGAGGCTGTAGATCCTGTGCGCACTTGCCTGTTTAGCCCACAACCTCTCCTCAGGAGAAATCAAAGCTTTTGCAGTCACACACCAAATGTTACTACTTTGTAGGAACCGTGAGTTACTCTGCATCTCCCCATCCCTCCCCTGCCTCGGTACCCTGACCCAGAGCCTGGCACAGAGCAGGTGTCCAGGAAAGACTTTCTGAATTGGACTTTGAGGATCTCGGGGAGCTTGCTGTGTTGGGTGCAGGATTTGTGCTGCAGGCACCAGAGGGCCGTGCCCCAGACTTCTTTGTGGGAGACAGCATAGCATGGTGTCCTAGAACCGGGTGTCTGGAAGTCTTGCAGACTTAGAGTAGAGTCCCAGCTCTACTACTTACCAGCTGTGTGGACTTGAGTTAATAGCTTCACCTCTCAGCCTCAGTTTCCTCATCTCTACAGTGGGGTTATTACACCTGTTTCCTACCGTTGATGAGCACAGTGCCTGGCATGTCCTGTCAGTGAAGTCTTGGAGTCCCTGGGAGAGGGGCCGGATGTATCGATGACACAGATGTCTTTAACAAAACCAGGGAAGGGGCTGTGTTTTTGATGTCCCCACTCCCCTCTCTGATGGCACTCTGGTAATCCACAGAGAGGGAGCCCGGTAGCAGCAGCTGCTGAACTGGAAACTAGCCCGGGAAGCAGGTATGACTGCCCCTCCCCCAGCTTCACGTGGCTGTTTCTGCATAACTGGAATTCCCAAAAATAAATCCAGCATGCAGGCATTTTAGTGATGAGAACCCCACTCAACAGAGACTCCGGGCAAATGATGCTGTTGATTTACTTTGATGTTTGTATTTCTATATAAAGGGTAGGGTCTTGCACTTGACCTGCAAGACCCTGACTGGGCCTTCCTAGGCTTGACTCTCAGGGTGCGCGGGAAAAGCCCAGATCTGGCTGGGGAAAGTGCTTGTTATCCACCATTGTCCATCTGTTTACTCCTTTGTTGCCAAGGTTAATTGTATGATGTTCAACCTTGTTTGAAACCATTGGCGGACCTTTGGATATGAAAACACTGTTGGATTTACCTGGCTTTGGCATGTCACGGAGCCAAGCTCAGCCAGCCTTTTCTGTGTTGGCATCTTTAATTGAGCCATAACAACCACCGTAAATTAACAAATTATATTCTTCTAAGCAGAAGTACAAAAGGGGGATGATTCATGAATGTGTTGATTGTTCTTCCTGCGCAGACGCTTGCCAGCATTCGGCCCCTCACTGGGTCCTAGATGAGCAGACTCGGAGGGCAGGGGAGCGGCAATAATGCCTTCCTCCTCAGCTCTCTTGCAGAAAAGTCCAGGCCCCAGTCCAGGACCTGGCACCTGTCCGATTCAGTCGCCATCATGAGCAGTGACTGCAGAGAGCAAAAAGAGGAGTACGCTTCAGTGTCCAGGCCAGGAGAGACTGGCTCAACCTGCAGGGCCACTGTCGGCCAGAGTTGTCTTTCAAATTGGGCTTAAAGTTGAGTTTTTGAAGGGCAAAGATCTGAAAACAACAGAAGGGCTGAAGGTGACCCTTCTAGACTGGATCTGGCTCCCTTGGCCTCACAAGCATTGTGTCTCTTGCTTGTTTCTTGGAAAAGTTGATGACCTGAGTGAGGGTCACTAAGTTCCAGGACAGCTTCACCTGGTGGCTCGCTGCCTCTCACTCAGTTATCCAAGGACTTTCTTCCTCTTTGCGTGGCCTGCCATCGCTCTTGGAAGGAAATTTTATAGCTGCTTATTAGACACTGAGCAAGTCGGTAGCTAAGATTCAGTTTGGAGCTGTCCTTGAACTTTTGCATAATCGTGTAACATCCATTTCTCATTGCCAGAGCCTACAGAACAGAGTAAAACTCTCATTGCTAGTTAACGTGTGGGGCTTTTAACATTTTACAAGTGGTGGACTTGAACTATGGAAAGCGAACGCCGTACCTGCCTTATAGACTCTGGGCAGAATGTGCACAGTGCTTATGTAATATGAATGAACGGAGTAAACTAGAATCTTTATAGGATTCGTGCCATATGGCTCTTTCAAAGCCATGACTTGGTCTGAGTAAAGATTTAGAATCGTATCATATATTCACATAGTCTTTGAAGAGGTAAACTCAGAAGGAATTCAGAAAACAGCTTCCACTGAACTATAAGTGGATTATGTGGTTTGAGCTGTACTGCTCTGTACCGCTCTAAGAGGCAAAATGAAAGTGACCTACATTTTTGACAACTTATGGAAACTAGGTGACATCTGCGTCCATCATCAGCTCTAGCGAGACTGCCAGATTCTGCAAATTTTGCAAGCTTTAGAGCAAACTAGCTGGATCAAGGCCTAACACCCGAGGTGTGTCTGTGGCATTTGTGGGTCTCCTTTCTCTTGGCTGTTTTTTCTGGTGAGCTGAGTGTAGTGGGAGCTTGTGATGGGAGCCCACGGTGGAGGTGGCCCAAGATTTGAGGCCTGCAGGTAAGGTCACTCTGAGACAACGTCAGATTTCCAGCCTATTGTATGAGAGGGTCCCCAGGCCACCTGGATGTCCATTTGAATGGCAAAGAGATCATGAATAGGACACCTGAATGTCGAGCTGCTCTGTGAGGGAATGGCCCAAAGGCCTAGTGAGGAGGACAGACCCAGAAAGACCAGGGATGCTTGATCATGCAGGGTCCCTCTCTTCCTGTGGGGTGGGACCTGCTCCCTGGGTGCCCCCTTCCCTCTGCACCTCCTCCTCCTGTCCTGGACACCTCTGACTCCAGCGCCACAGGCTCTTCACCAGGACATCTGGTGGCCAACCGGCATGGGTTGTTCGTGTTTTAGTCTTTGGTTTGTTGGACCTATGTGACAATTTTATTTAAATTATTTAAAAATAAATAATGCATGCATGTGGTACACAATTGAAAAGATACAAAAGACGCAGCGTGAAAAGGCTCCCTCCTGTCTCTGAGCCTCAGTCCCTCTCACCCACGGGCAACCGTGGTCAGCAGTCTGCACCCTCCAGAGATGTCACACATATTGGAGAGTCTTGCTTCTCAGCACACTCAGGATGGGCTGCATAGAATAAATCCATTGTATGAATTTACCAAATTTAACCAGTGTCTCATTGATTACCATTTAGATTATTTCCAGTATTTTGCTCTTACTGACTATGCATCAATAAGTACCCTTCTATATATTGTTCTGTATCTGTAAAATAAACTCCTAAAAGTGAATTAATGGGTCCAAGGGTATGGAATCTTTGATTTTTACCAATTTTGTCACATTGCCTTCCATAGAATTGTACCCATTTAGGTCCCAGTCAACAATGTGTGAATGCCCGTTTCCTCACATTCTTGCCAACACAGTGAATTGTTAGACTTCTAGATCTTTGCCGATCTGATAGGCGCAAAGTAGTATTTCACTTGTCCGTTCATGGCTTCGGTCCATTTATCTTCTTAGATACTGAGCTGCTCTTTTTGATTTGTAAGCATTCATTGTGTGTCAAAGAAATTTGCCTAGTGTCTGTGATATGTGTTGTAAATATTTTCCTTCATTTTTATTTTGTCCGTTTTTTGTCTTTTTTCTTGAGATATAATTGACATACATTATATTGTTTCAGGTATACAACATAATTCAATATTTGTGTGTATTGTGAAATGATCACCACAATAAGTCTAGTTTTTAAATCCATCATCATGCATAGTTACAAATTTCTTTTTCTTGTGATGAGAACTTTTAAGATTTACTCTATGTTCGTCTTTTTTTGTTTTTGCCATTTTTTTCGTAAATACGTTTATCAGTCGTTTCTTTAAGGCATCTGGGCTTCACATGATATTTAGGAAGCAACTACCCACTTTTATGGTCTCCTTTCCTAAAAGTTCCAAGTATCTTCCAGTGCCATTGATATGTACACCAACTTATACAGAAGGTCAGAAGGGATTCTCTCCTGGGTGTTGCAAGAGGGAAACCCAGCCTAGATGGAAGTAAGTGCCTCTGCTGTCTTCCTGGGGGAGGAGACAGGAGAGCTGAATTAGAGCATTTCATGTTTATTGCACCTCAAGGCATATCTCCCTGGGAGCCATACGACTTCTCTTTAGAATGCAGACCTTGTTGCCGGCCATTGGAAATTCATACATTCACAATAATTCAGAGTTGAACCAGAGCCTTTCCCAAGCCATGCAGCTTCTTGGTGCCCATCTTTCAATTTCCACATTGGGATGGCAGCTAAAAATGACTTTGCGGTAGATGGTTAATTTCTGCTTGTTACTTACTAATAATTATAGCTTCCACTTTGGCACCTCTCACAGTCGAAACCAACGGCTATTCTTAGATGTGCAAGATCAGATTTTCTGATTTCTGCTGGGAATTTAAAGCTGTGACACTCTCACAAGTTCCTTGGCCCTGGCCCGTCTGCCCTTCCCCTTTCCAGGCTCCTCCCAGCCTCCGGGAGGCTGCCTCACCCCGGTTGAGGGGTAATCCTGTGGCACAGTCACCATGACAGGATGAAGACAGCTCCCAGACAGGTGGTGTGTGGGTCACTGCACAGGGAGCACTGCGGGAGGGAACGCGCAGTACCAGGGGTCAGGCCTGCCCAGATGCACTGCCAGTCTGGATCGGTCACCCTGCCAGACCGGCCCCTTCTCCTGCCCTGGGGAGTTTTGATTAATAGTCTACAGCATGCAGGCAGCTGGTGTTTATCCAGCACTGTGTGTGTGTCGCATGGTCTTCCCAGGACTTTGTATGTCTTAACTTGTTTAGTCCCCATAATAGCCTTATGAGGTATAAATACCCTTATTCACCCATTTCAGAGATGAAGAAACTGAGACACAGCTGTCAAGTCACTTGTCTAAGTGACTAAAGTTACCTGCCTAATAAGTGGAGAAGCCAGAATAAATGCAGCCAGTGTGGCCCCAGAACCCCAGCTCCAACCTGGGGTGGGCCCTCAGTTGAACCCCGTGTT